AGAAAAACCTGGAAAGACTTATATGGACTGATGCTGAGTGAAGTGAGTAGAACCAGGAAGACATTAGGCATAGTAACAGTAACTTTGGGTGATGATCAGCTTTGATAGACTTAGCTCTTCTCAGCAATACAATGATCTAAGACAATTCCAAAAGACTCATCATAGAAAATGCTATCCAGAGAAAAAATTATGGAGCCTGAATGCAGATTGAAATATACTATTTTCTTTCTCTTTTTTTTTCTTTCTCATGGTTGTTTCCTTTTGTTCTGATTCTTCTTTCACAACTTGACTACTGTGAAAGTGTGTTTGATATGATCGTACATGTATAGCCTATATCAGATTGCTTGCCATCTTGGGGAGGGAGGAGGAGAGCAAGGGAGAAAAAAATGTGAAACTCAAAATCTTATAAAAGTGAACATTAAAAACTATCTTTACATGTAACTGGAAAAAATAAAATACTATTAAGTGGAAGGAAAAAAAAAAAGAAATGCTCTGCTCTCACCATACTCTCACAACTGATAAATTGGCAGGCCCTCCCAAAAACAGGTCAGGCAACCAATGGAAGCCAATCATTTTCCAGGAATCCTCAAGAATGGGGCAATTCATCTCAGAAGGGTGAAATGCCCTCGCTCCTGGAGTGAGTGTGGGACTGGTTTAGATTGTGACATTCTGTGGAATAGGGTTGGTAGCTAGTAGTGATGCCTCATGATGAAACAAAGAGCCCTCTGTGAGGCTTCTCCCCTGTTTCCCCACCCCATGGAACGTTATTTGAGAGGCAGGAATAGGGGGCACTACCTCTATAATACCTCTGATGGCGAAAGCTTTGATTTTCCAGTATGGATCACCCTGTACCAACTTTAGGAGGCTGTCATAGACCTGGAATAAAAAAGGGAGAAATGATGAGCTGTCAGAGTTGGAACAAAGAAAGCCTAGATCCAACTCACTGGCCTTCTAGAATATGCCATTAAAAACAAGGCAAAACCAGAAAAATAATTTTTATTAGTATAGGGAACTCCTAGTATGGTGTGTGTGTTCAGTCAGTTTTTCTCTTATGTCCAATTCTTCATGACTCCAGTTGGGGTTTTCTTGGCAAAGATACTGGAGGAGTTTGCCATTTCCAGTTCACTTTACAAATGAGGAAACTGAGACAAACAGGGTTAAGTGACTTGCACAGGGTCACACAGCTAGTAAGTGTTTGAGGCCAGATTTGAACTTGGGAAGATGAGTCTTCCTGACTCCAGGCCTGGTAATCTGTCTGCTGTGCCACCTAGCTGACCCTGCCCAGTATGGTAGGGATCCTTATTATTAATGTAGGTCAATAACTTTATTGCAACATAGTCTTAGAGGATTGTCTAGAGCATGTAGAGGTTAAAAGATCTGTAGTCATAGAGCCAGTATGTGTTAGAAGCAGGATGTGAACTTCCTGATTCCAAGGCTGGCCTCTTACTCATTCTCTTAAGCTGCCTCTGAAGGGGCTATGACTCTTGGCTAAACAAAGTTCTTCTCTTGCCTTCAGTGCCCTCTAAATTAATGACCACTGGAACAGCGTGTCCTCTTCCTAGAATAAGCCCAGTTTTGTTTGCTCATTGTGGGTGGATTCTTTTCATCCCAGCGCAGTTTTGATCAGCCTGGCCGTGGATAGAATTTTTCCATATACAGGATTCAGGTTTCTCTTCCCCCTAAAGAAACATGCCCCCCCAAAAAACTAGGAAGGGAACCAAATCACTCTTCACCTTATGTCTCCCTTTTCATTCTTCAGTACCAGGCTGTAATCAAAGCAGTTACCAGAGGAAACTGGATAAGGTTTTGTCAAAGGGTGGGAAATTTCAAGGATCTCTTGGAAGAATTTATGGGTCTCTTAGGAAAAAGAGGGGAGAAGTAGCCTGGTGAGGGTGGGGAGCTATGGTAGGGCAGTGTTGGTGCTGGTAGGAGCAGGAACTAAGGGTAGGTGAGGCCCAAAAGTTCTATTCAATGAGATGAAAACTCCGCCCTGGCTTGTGGCTGGCGATAGAGGCCTGGTCTTGGCCCAGTGAACCCGTCCTTTAGTGCCAACAGCAGGAGATTTGAGGGTCACCATGAACTGGCCGAAGAATGGGAACAGCACACTGCTGGTCACCTCCCTCTCAACTCCCTCCCCCCATCCCCTCCTCTAAAGGGAAATGAGACTATGAGGGGGTGGGGAAGTAGCAAGAAGGGTACCGGGGCTGTGCTAGACTGAGTTCCAAGTGGCTCAGCTTACAAGCAGCCAACTGTTAAATTTTCAGGGTGAGCATTTACACTTTGGAAATTGGCAAATGCTACAAATCAGGACTTGGTTTATTGTGTCGTCGATTCTCTCAACTTAAGAAAAATAATGCAGAATAAACCCTTTTTTTAAATTAATTTTTTTTAAGTCAATTGGGATTAAGTGATTTGCCCAAGGTAAGCATCTGAGGTCAAATTTGAACTCAGGTCCTCCTGACTCCAGGGCCAGTGCTTTATCCACTGTACCACCTAGCTGCCCCTCTCCTGGGGCTCTCCTGGGCTTCTAAAACTATCCTGCATACCCAGAGAGAGGGGCAAGGTAAGCTTGGGGCCAGGACCGAAAGGACTAAAGGTCCTCCTTTTCCTGCCCGGCTGCTTGTCCTGGATCACAAAACCAGAGACTGCTGCCCAGGAAGGAGGATACATTTCAGCACCTTGGATGTAAGAGGGATGAGCTGGAAACATTAGGCCTGGATTGTCTAGTTCCCGCTCTGCCACCAATTCTGAGCCTCTCTTTTTGGGTGAGATGGATAGGGAGGTCTCTAAGGAGCCTTTCAGTTCTTATTGTGGGTCCTCTGTTGGACTCGCTCCAGATTAGCGTCTATATCAGGGAAAGTTAAATGAGCCCTCCTCTGTGACTCTTGGCAAATCATTCCTTTCTCTGGGGCCTCATTTTACTCCTTTGTAAGATACAGTTGGATTAGAGTGCTGGACTTCAAATCAAGAAGACCAGAGTTGTTCAAATCCGGCTTCAGACACTTACTAGTTTTATTACCCTGGACAACGGACTGAATCTTTATCTGCCTCAGTTTCCTCATCTGTGGAGACAATAAATAATAGCATCTACCTCCCAGGGTTGTTGTGAAGGTAAAATGAGACACCAGTATTTGTGATGTGCTTTGCAAAGCTTAAAGCGTTCTGTTGTTGTTCCATTTTATCTGTTTGTGACCCCATTTGGGATTTTCTTGACAAAGATAATAGAGTGGTTTGCCACTTCTCCAGCTCAATTTACAGATGAGGAAACTGAGGCAAAATGGGTTAGGTGACTTGCCCAGGGTCACACAGCTAGTAAATGTCCGAGACTAGATTTGAACTCAGGAAGATAAGTCTTCCTGACTCCAGGCTCAGCACTCTATGCACTGTACCAATTAGCTGCCCCAAAGTGTTATATAAATGCTAGCTATTATTGTTAGATGATCCTGTAAAGTCCCTTAGCTCTAATATGGGGGAGCATGGCTTCAAGCCCTCTTTCCATCACCTCCCCAAAAGCCGTAAGGGTTACCACTCTATCCCACCCCCAGTAATAAGGCATTCAAGAGATACCAAGTATGAAGAAACAACTGCCTTTAGCACCCAGTTATCAGGATTAACTAGTGAAAATAGGGAAGGATCAGATACAACTTCTGTGGGGTGAGGAGTTGGGAGGTAGGTAGTTGGTTAGTTATTAAATAAATATTTATATAGCACTATATCCTACCAGGGGTGGGGAACCTGTGGCCTCGAGGCCACATGGCCCTCTAGGTCTTCAAGTGTGGCCCTTTGCTACACTTGAGGACCTAGAGGACCCACGTGGCCTTGAGGCAGCAGGTTCCCCACCCCTGTAAGGAACCTACACCTTGCGCCTGGTGCTAGGGATACAGAAAAGGGGAGGGATAGTCTCTCCAGAAGCAGCCTCAGCAGTGTCCTGGGATCCTTGCAGGTCTTTATTCCTCCCGAGAAAGGTGTCCATCCTCATCCTCTCCACCACTCTCAGTTGAGGATGCCAGCGTAAAGATTTTCAATTACAGATCTGGTGATGACAGTCTCTCCAAGGTAAAGTATAGTTACAGAGTTGGATGACCCCAGTTGAAGAAGTTAGGTTTGGCCCAAGACCAAACGTCATCTCAGATAGATGTTCAACTATTTACCTTCCATGCTTTCTAGTAAATGTAGTTTCAATATCTTATATTTGTATAGCACTTTCTAGCTTGTAATGCACTTTCATACTTATTATCTCTGGAGCTTTTGAGGAAACGTGTGAGATAAATTAGGGAATATATTCCTATGCCTATTTTAGATGTGAGGAGAGAGTTTTCAGGGGTGGGGACCTGCAGTCTCGAGGCTCCATGTGGTCTTCTAGGTACTCAGGTGTGGCCTTCTGACTGAGTCTACGTTTTACAGAACAAATCCATTTATTAAGGGAGTTCGTTCTGTGAAGTTTGGATTCAATCAAAGGGCTGCACTTGAGGACCTCGAGGACCACATGTGGCCTCGAGGCTGCAGGTTCCCCACGCCTGGCTTAAGTGATTTGCTGAAGGTCAGGTAGAAAGTCAGTGGTAGAGCTAGAATGGGAAAGACGCAATCTGACTTTTAGTCCAGAGTCCTGATTGCCCCTTTGCCCTTGTGCCCCATAAGACTTTTACACAGTGTTTTCTCAGCCCCCAGAAAAATTGTGGGAAGAAAAGCCCATGGCAAATAAACCTTTAACAGTGTAGTGAGTTGTCCAGAAACTGCTTCAACTCCAACTTACCATCTTATCTTTTATCTTGAGTTCACCAGCTGCAAGGCAGGCTTCCCTCCTCACAGCCACAAAATCATCAGAGAAGCAGTTAACGAAGTCAGGAAGCAACTTGGCAGTCATAAGCTTCAGCCAGCCAATCAGGGAGAGGGCGTCTACTCGCTCCTGGGAGTTTCCTTGACCCAGCATTATTCTGTTGGACAGAAGAGTCCAGTTACTGCTCTGCCTGAAAAGCCTCCAATGGCTCTGTGGCTGTAGCATGGACATAACTTCTCTGGCTAATTCTGACCTTTGCACTTTAGCGGCCAATAAGTTAGTTAATTCATCTTTCCCAAAGTGCCCTTCAGCTCAGAGTCATAGACGGCTGAATGGAAGCAGTCAGGGGTTTTGTCATCCCCTGCGGAATCAATTACACAATTATTACACATGATTAGTAGAATCAGACAGAGAAGTTCTGCAAATGCTCAATGGAACCTGCAATTACAGTCAAGATGGCATTCAAGGCTCTTCCTATTCTCACCCCACCTATCCAACCTTATTTCCCACTGAGAGAAATTATTATTTCTCTCTTATATTAATGATCAATTATTGAATTAGGACCAGGATTTTTTCAGAAACCTGTAGGTTGTTCGGTCTCTAAAGGACATTGCTGATAATGAGATTGGATTAACTTTCTCTTCAATCTTGTTCAGACCCCACCCAAGTGGGGAAGCCCATTGCGATCTACTCAGGCTTGGGCTGGGGGTAGGTCCTTTGTCTAGATTGCCTGAGGCTAGGGGTGGTTTGGGAGCAAGAGTAAAAGAGCAAAGTCATGTCCCCCTTCATTAGAATAGGTCCACCTCTCATCTTAATATTCATTCTTCTAATTAATTGCTAACCAATCAGAGTTGTTTACCACCCTCAGGGACACCCACTCCTCCAAGAGCATATAAACCTTGAGTGGCTTCCATGAGGGGTCTTTGGCATTCGAGTGTCACTGACCCCTTTTATTGATTATCCACTAGCATAATTAATCAAATGGTTAATTACCTGGAAACTATGTCTCTTGAACTTTTTATACTTCACACCACTACTTCCCAGCACAAGCCCCCTACCCCAGTCAGGCTAGTCGCTTTCTTACCCATTCCAGATTTTTTCCTTTTGCATCACTCTTCTAACTGATATACCTTCCCTTCTATTCCCCACCCTGATTCTATTCATCCTTCATGGCCTACATAAATTAGTCCACAAGCATTTATTAAGCACTCACTATGTTCTAGGCACTGTGCTAAATGCTGGGAGATGAAACAAAAACAAAAGTCTTTACCCTCAAGGAGCCTATATTCTAATGGGAGAAGAGATATACAGCTATATAAAAGATACAAGGTAGATACAAGGTAACATTAAAGGGTACAGCACCAGACCTGGGATTCTTCCTTTTTTTGTCAAGGATCCCTTAGGCAGTCAGGTAAAGTCAATTCCCCTTCTCAGAATGATATTTTAAAAATAAGATGCATAAAATTACAAAGGAAACCAATTATATGAAATAATTATCAAAATATTAAAAAAAAAACCCCAAAGTCAATGGACCTCAGTTAAAGATCGTTTGTACAAGCTATCAGAGAGACCAAGAGAGGCAGCCTGAGGAAGGTGACACTTAAATTGAGCCTTGAAGGAAACCAGAGATTCCAAGAAATAGAGGTTGGGAGGAAGGGGGGTTCCTCTCACAGCTATCACAGCCAGTGCAATCAAATGGAAGTGGGAATTGTAGGCGAGAAACAGCAACCATATCCAGCATTTATATAGCACCTACTATGTGTCAGGCACTGTTTTTGTTCAATTGTTTCAATTGTGTCCAACTCTTTGTGACCCTTTGGAGGGTTTTCTTGGCAAAGATACTGGAGCGGTTTGCCATTTCCTTCTCTAGCTCATTTTACAAATGAGGAAACTGCGGCAAACAGGGTTAAGTGACTTGCCCAGGGTCACAAAGCTAATAAGTGTCTGAGGCCAGATTTGAACTCAGGAAGAGGAGTCTTCCTGACTCCAGGCTTGGCACTCTATGCACTATGTTGCCGCACCACCTAGCTTCTTCCCCGCTCCTTCCCCATCCAAATTGGATAACTAGAATGCAAGGCAAAGTGCAAATGCCATGAGAGAAACAAACAACATACTTTGAGTGGTTATGGGATCCTTCCCAAGATCACATTTAATGAGAAGTATCAAGGAAGGTGCCCATAAAACTTTCCCCTTTGCTATTCCAGTTCACGTTGACTTCTCTTTTATAGCCACAGTATTTATCATTCATGTTGCTTGCTTTGGCAGTGGCTATGATTATATCTAGTTTCTTATATCATCTAATTCTTCAATTGTTAGGTATTACTTTTTGCTGCAATAAGATTGTAAGTTTCTTGAAGGCTGGGACCTTTTCTTTTGCCTTCATGTCTATCACAGAACCTAACAAAATCACCAGCATAGAGGAGATATTCAACTCATAGTTAATGTTCATAAATACCTCTCCTAACTACATTTTAAACTTTTTGAAATCAGGGACTGGGGTATTTTTTTTTTCTATATCATCCATCAGACGCAGCTAGATGGTGCAGTCAGTGGATTAAGCCCTGGGCTTGAAGTCAGGAAGATCTGAGTTTGAATCTAGCCTCAGATACTTATTAGCTGTGTGATCCTGGGCAAGACACCTAACCTCTGCCAGCCTCAATATCCTTATCTGTAAAATGGAGATGATAATAGCACCTGCTTCCCAGGGTTGTTGTGAAGATCAAATGAGATAATATTAGCATACTGCCTGGCACCTAGTTTGTTGTTTGTCCTTTATTTTCAAAGAGGACCAGCGATATCGCGGGGTGATGTCTTGACTCATGGATGATTTAGATTTAAATGAGGCAGAGCTGCACAGTCATTAGTCTCACTTTCTCTTCCAGAGTCATCGAATTCCAGTGGCAGGACAAAAGCCAGGATGATGGGCAGTGGCCTAGGATGCAGTGGATGACCTTGGCATCTTCAATATCTGACCAAGATCTAAGCTCTCCACAGTTCCTGCTTCGGTCACCATTAGAACAAATTGTTCTCATCTTCCCATTCTGCTGGGAGAAGCCTTCACATACTCAGGGTAGACATTCCCCTACCACACAGATGGGTTTGAGGCCTGTCAATTTCCCTCAGTCTGGTTTAGACCATCTGCCTAAATGGTTTACTGGGTGTGGCCTCTACAAATACTACAGCTTCTTGGAGCCATAGGTGAGAGTTGGGTGAAAGTGGACACCAAAAGTGGATAAGCAGCCCTGAAAAGAGCTGGGCAAGCCCTCATTCCAGAGGTGCTAGTCCTCCCTGAGCACCCCATACATCCCCGGTACATGATAGGTTCTTAATCGATGTGTTTCCTTCCTTTCTTAATAAAGCCCATCACAATGTTACACATACTGTAGGAATTCTATACAGCTTTATGAATTATTTGGTTACTGAGACTTCAAATACTGTCAATATTGAGAATAGTTTATTTCCAGGGGTGCTAGGGAGAGCCAAGTGTTACATTTTCAGTGTGAGCAATTACACCTCCAAAATTTGCAAAGGCTACAAAACAGAGTTTAATTTATTGTTTTGATGATTGTCTAGACTTAAGAAAGTAAAGGAGAAAGTGTTAATGATGCAAATTGAATTAAAAGTCTGTTGCCTGTTGGGGGAGTTGTAACTAATCTAGCCATTCTGGAGAGTAATTTGGAACTATGCCCAAAGAGTTATAAAACTGTGCATACCCTTTGATCCAGCAATACCACTGCTAGGTCTATATCCCAAAGACATTAAAAAAAAGGGAAAAGAACCTATTTGTACAAAAATATTTAAAGCAGCTCTTTTTGTGGTGGCTAAGAACTGGAAATTTAGAGAATGCTCATCAATTGGGGAATGGCTAAACAAGGTGTGGTATATGATTGTGATGGAATATTATTGTGCTATAAGAAATGACAAGCAGGATGATTTCAGAAAAACCTGGGAAGACTTACATGAACTGATGCAAAGTGAAGTGAGCAGAACCAGGAGAATGTTGTACACAGTAACAGCAATATTGTATGATGAAGAACTGTGAATGACTTAGCTATTCTCAGCAATATAATGATCCAAATCAATCCCAAAGGACTCATGATGAAGCATGCTATCCCACTCCAGAGAAAGAACTGATACTGTCAGAATATAGACTGAAGCCTGCTATTTTACACTTTCTTTTCTTCTTCTTTTTTTTTTATAAATTGAGTCTTCTTGTACAAAATGACTAATATGGAAATGTTTTACGTGATTGCATATGTATAACCTGTATCATATTGCTTATCATCTCAGGGAGGGATAGAATTTGGAACTCAAAACTTTTTTTAAAATGTTAAAAAATTATTTTAACATGTAATTGATGGAAAAATAAAGTATCATATTAAAAAGTGTGTTGCATGCATTCCATGCCCCCCACCTACAGCCAGTTAGTAAACATTTACCCCTGTTTACACTACAACTTCTTTCTGACCATCCTAAAGACATAGCCTACCCGATCTTGTCATGCACCTCCTTCCCCAGCTTCATCTGCCCAAGGGCTTGGGCAGCTGCCTGGCGTACACCCCAGTTCCAATCATTCCACATCAGCTGGATCAATTTGTGTTTCAGATCCTACAAACACAAAACATCCCCCAAGGTCAATGCAACTTGCTTGGGTACCAGAGACATAACGCTAATAGGTGAGATGTGATTAGATTTTATCCTAGACAAAGGAAGAGAGGAGATTATTGCCCATCTTCTTTCTAATTACATGACAAAAAGTATTTATCTTCCTAGCATCGCTTTTTTCAACCCTTGCCACTCAAACACCACCATATGTGTAGGTAGTCATTGATATTCTTTCAATTACCAGTAGGAAGAAGTACAGAATAGGTGAAATTATGAATGAAAAGACACCTGAATCATCTTTTCCAACTATTGTTGTTTTTCAGTCATTTTTCAGTGATGTCCTACTCTTCATGACTCCTTTTTTTGGATTTTCTTGGCAAGGATATTGGAATGATTTGCCATTTCCTTCTCCAGCTCATTTCACAGATGAGGAAACTGAGGCAAACAGGGTTAAGTGACTTGCACAACAGGGTCACACAGTCGTGTGACCTACAGCAAGTATCTGAGAACAGTTTTGAACTCAGGAAGATGAGTCTTCTTGACTTCAGGGCTGGTGCTCTATCCACTCTACCACCCAGCTGCTAAAGAGAGTTCCGGAGAAGGCTCTTGATTCATCTAGATCCCGCCTGATCCCCATGTCACACGTGCCTACTACAATCTTTAGGTCAAAGAGCTATAGTTGAGCAGAATGTGTTGTCTTACTGGTCTCTTCCTGGAGGGTCTCTTACTGGAGGTCTCTTACTGGAGGTCGCAGAGCACACACTGGATGACCATTTATTAAGGATGTAGTGGAAGGTATTCTTGCTTAGGTATGGGTTGCATGAGAAGGCCTCTGTGGTCTCTTGAAACTCTTAGATTCCAAGATGCTCTGGTCAGTAACTGAACTTCTGTGTCCCAGTTATTCAACTGTATTTGTACCCACACCTCTAGACAGTGGAGCTGAAAGAACAGTCAGATGTTCAGGGCCGTGGGAATGAAAGGTATAATTTCAGGCCAGGCTTGTGGTATTCAGAGTATATGAGAATAAGATGATCAAGTTGGGCATCCTTGTGGCAAATCTATTTAGATAACTGAAGATACTCCACAAGTACTGGCAGGTTGATGAAATACATCGTGGGGAAAGGGAAGGCTCAGAAAGGGTGGGGCATCTTCATTGTTCTACGAAGATTCATCTAGGGCAGGTAGGAATGGTGGTTAGGGTTTAGTCTTGCTGCTCCCCTTGTTTGGAATGCCCTTTGTATATTCATCTAGATTCTGCACAGTTCAAGACCCAACTCTTCCATGAGGTCTTCCCTGACTAGTCTAGTCTTTAGTAATCTCTCTTCTCCAATTATACTCACAGTAAGTACTGTATAGCCTAGCACTTATTTGCTAATTGTTTTATCTCATCAACTAGACTATAAGCTTCTTTTTTTTTTTATAGGAAGACACTTTAATGGAGCTTTTTTTTTTACAAATAGGCTTTAGGAGAATCAATCAATGCTGCCGGGTATTAGATGCAATCCTGGGCTACAAGTCAGCACACTCCTTGACAACAGGCCTCGTGATGGCTGAGCCTTTCATCTCGCCTTTGTTGTTTATTATGACCCCTGCATTGTCTTCAAAATATAGGAACACACCATCTTTTCTCCGATATGACTCCGTTGCCATATTACCGCTGCTGTATGAACCTTCTTTCAGAGCTCTGGTTTCCCCTTTTTGACTGTGGCCATTACCATGTCACCCACACCAGCTGCAGGAAGCCTGTTTAATCTCCCCTTAATCCCCTTTACAGAGATGATGTACAGGTTCTTGGCACCTGTATTATCAGCACAATTGATGACAGTTCCCACTGGGAAACCCAAGAAAATTCGGAACTTTGCTCCTAAAGACCCACCATGTCCTCGCTTAGACATCTTGATTCCAGGAAAGCACAAAAGAGAGAGGAAACCCATAAGCTTCTTGAAGGGAAGGATTATAGCATCCTTTTTGTTGGTTTTTTTTGGTTTTTAATTCAATTTTATTTTATTTTCAGTTTAGAATTCTCTCCTTCCCTACTCCCTCTCCCCCACCCATTTGACAAGGCAAGAAAAAAACAAAACCCATTACAAATATATGTATATATGTATAATCATCAAAAACAAATTTCCACATTAGCTGTATGACATCCTGTCTAATTTCTACGGACTACAGCAAAAGTAGAATCTTCTCTTGTCTCAGAAGGGTGGTATAATTTTTGCTAAAACAAGGCTCAGATAAGAAGCATAAAAACCATTCCTTCCCTCCCTTCTCTTCCCAAACACTAGGAAACACCTCCTATACTTGTTTACACCAGGAAGACCATGCCAAGGCCTTCCAACATCCATCACTGGACACTGATTAGACATGCAGTACCTAAATATTTATTTTGTTCAGAAAGTTCAAGATCAGGTAGTAGAGGGGGCAGCTAGGCGGTGCAGCAGATACAGCACCGGCCCTGGATTCAGGAGGATCTGAGTTCAAATCCAGCCTTAGACACATAACACTTACTGTGTGACCCTGGGCAAGTCACTTAACCCCCCCCCATCGCCTAACCCCCCCCCCCAAAAAATCAGGTAGTAGAACAGGTAGTCAGGGTCACAGAAATCCATGGAGACATATGGAGATGATTTTTTTTGGGTGGTGGGATATAAGTGTGCTTTGGGTCTTTATACCTGGCCCATACCTGATGCACATCTATGGTGTGGTAGGGGTAGCATTTGGCTGGTAGCTGATCAGTCTGGCAGGGGATTTGTCACAGAAGCTAGCTGCTTCTTAGTGATGCATTGTGATATGACTGGTCTCTTTTAATTTTGATTTTGGTAACCTTTAGAGATAAGAAGTAGTTGTACTGGGATAGAGAGATCTGTTTGGAAAGCACAGTAGAGTGGGAGTGGGGTAGCAAATAGTTATAAGTGTTACCCACCTTATTTATACTGCAAATTAGATTTAGCAGGACAAGAAAAGGATTTACCTGGTTGACACTCCTCCCCCTGATTCGGGAAAGAGCTCGGCAGGCAACAATCCTGTCTTCCCATTGGCAGCTGTTCAGCTCCACAGCAAGTAGGGTATGTATCAGGCTCTGAGGAGACATAAGACATAGTTTAGTGGTTTCTCTGTGCACCCTCAGTAGTGATGGAACCTTGAAAGACTCACCATCATGTGGCATTCAGCATCAGGATCACAAACATGGGATGTCTATCTCCTAGCAGTGGAAAGGTAGGATGCCTACTTCTCCAATTAGAGCCAGCCAACTCAGGTTCCGTTAAAACTGGAGAGTGCAAAAGAGGGGCCTAGCTCACCCAATTTTAAGACAAAACTCCTAGGTTGCTCTTTGACCTTAATTCAGTATTCACTTTCCTCTTTTCTCCTCTTCTCCTTCCATTGACTAATATATAACTTGCCCTATGTATGTTTCATGCCTAATTTGATGTCATTCATATTTCCTAAGTTACCATTTCTTATATGTCTAAGTCGGTGATAGCTTACATGTAAATGCCTTGTCTACAGCTCCTAAAGTTCAGAATCCCAGGTGATGTTGTGGTAGTGAAGTAAGTTAGATATTGACTTCTGGGTAACAAGTAGCCTGGGCTCAGAACATATACACAGAGTGCTGTGATAGTGGATGTACAGTTTGCACATCTTAAAGCACTATATAAGTGCCAATCTTTATTATTGTTATTGTTATTATTAGCCTACAGTCATCAGACTTCCACTGTGATGATAATCTCATTGATAACTTGAGCCTCCTAACGAGCTCCTACAGAGCTTAAGCAATGCTTATAGAGCAATACAGAAGTGTGTGTTGGTAAATGTTTAACAACAGGGTTCCACCCCCCACACAAATAATCTGCATTATTTTATTTTAATAATTTAAACAATAATTTAAAATAGTATTTAATAGTTTAAATATTTAATAATTATATTTAACAATCTGCATTGTTTCATTTATATGTTATAAATTTCACCATTTATTTTCAGCATTCTTTTAAAAAAATTTTTTTTGAGTTCCAAATTCTCTCCCTAGAAGGCAAGCACTGTATTAATATGCATTATTAATACTTCCTTCAGTCTATCTAGACCATCAACAAAACAAAAAATCAAACCCTGATTTGTAGTAATTGTTGTCTGCGGTATAAATGTTCACCTCTGAATGTACAGAACTTTAGTGATGCCAACAATGCCACTGCTTAGTCTATTCCCAATGAGTAGGCAATCAGGGGAACCCATATACACACAGGAGGGCCACATCTAGAAATCCTGATTGCTGGATATGTGCTATCTAGCTAAGCCCACAAACCTCACCTGGCTTCTCCTTTGCTGTGTCCTCACACACAACTCTCTGCATCTCTGCATCTGAACACCAAGGTTGTTCAGGAAATATACCAACTTTGGTCCTGCTTCTTTTGAGTATACCAGTTACAGCATCCCTGGGCAGAAGGGCTGAGGCACCCAGTCAACCTTCCACTAGATGCAATCACTAGCCGTGTCCCAGTAGAAACTTCTTAGACAAGTCCTGTGAGGCTGTTCCCTGTCCCACATGAGTTATCTCCTACCCCCACGCTCCTCTACACTTTTCTTTCCTTACTCTACTGAGATAAGATTATGTGTGTGTAAGAATCCACCTTGCAGTCACAGTCCCTCTAACTTGAAACAGCTTACCAAAATTCATGTGGTAACTTCATCTACTTCCTTTCACTTGCATCAACAGCAGCAATTTCTTTATTTTAAATTTTTTTTTTATTTTTTAAACACGTGTTTTTAAAACTTTGGGTTCCAAATTTTCTCCCTTCCTCCCTCCCCACCCACCCTTATTGAAAAGGCAAGCAACTCAATATAGGTTGTACAGGTGCAGTTATGCAAAACACGTCCATAGTAGACATGCTGTGAAAAACTAATTCTATTTTCCTTAATCCTATCCTGCCCTCCTCCATTTATTCTATTCTTTCTTTTGACCCTGTCCCTCCTCAGAAGTATTGCTTCTGATTACCCCCTTTCCCAATCTGCCCTCCTTTCTATCATCCCCCTACTCTCTTGTCCCTGTAACCCCCTATTTTCCTGTAGGGTAATACAGATTTCCATACCCAATTGAGTGTGTATGTTATTCCCTCCTTAAGTCAAATCCTGTGAGAATGAGATTCACTCATTCCCTCTCACCTTCCCCCATTTCCCCTCCACTGTAAGAGTCTTTTCTTTTGTTTTTTTTTGTGAGATGGTTTACCCTGTTCTACCTCTCCCTTTCTCCTTCTCCTAGTATAATCCTCTCTCCCCCCTTAATTTTATTCTCCAGATATGACCCCTTCATCTTCAACTCACCCTGTGCCATCCATCTATCTATCTATCTATCTATCTATCTATCTATCTATCTATCTATCTATCTATATACATACATACATATAATTTTTTTCCCTCCAACTACCCAAATACTGACAAAGGTCTCAAGAGTTACATATATCATCTTTCCATGCAGGAATGTAAACAGTTCAACCTTAATAAGTCTCTTATGATTTCACTTTCCTGTTTACCTCTTCATGTTCCACTTGAGTCTTATATTTGAAAGTCAAATTTTCTATTCAGTTCTGGTCTTTTCATCAAGAATGCTTGAAAGTCCTCTATTTCACTGAATGACCATTTTTTCTCCGAAGGATTATACTCAGTTTTGCTGGGTAGGTGATTCTTGGTTGTAATCCTATCTCCTTTGCCCTCTGGAATATTATATTCCATGCCCTGCAGTCGCTTAATGTAGAAGCTGCTAAGTCATGTGTTATCTTTATTGTGTTCCCACAATACTTGAATTGTTTCTTTCTGGCTGCTTGTAATATTTTGTCCTTGACCTGGGAACTCCGGAATTTGGCTACAATATTCCTAGGAGTTTTCCTTTGGGGATCTCTTTCAGGAGGAGATCAGTGGATTCTTTCAATTTCTATTTTGCCCTCTGGTTCTAAAATATCGGGGCAGTTTTCCTTGATAATTTCTTGAAAGATGATGTCTAGGTTCTTTTTTTGATCATGGCTTTCAGATAGTCCAATAATTTTTAAATTCTCTCTCCTGGATCTATTTTTCAGGTCAGCTCTTTTTCCAATGAGATATTTCACATTGTTTTCTAATTTTTCATTCTTTTGGATTTGTTTTACAGTGTCTTGATTTCTCATAAAGTAACTAGCTTCCAATTGCTCTATTCTAATTTTTAAGGAAGTATTTTCTTTCTTTTTTTTTTTTTAAGAAGTATTTTCTTCAGTAATCTTTTGGACTTCCTTTTCCATTTGGCCAATTTTGCTTTTTAGGGCATTCTTCTCATCGGCTTTTTGGACCTCTTTTGCCATTTGGGTTAGGCTATTTTTTAAGGTGCTATTTTCTTCAGTATTTTTTTGGGTCTCCTTTAGCAAGCTGTTGACTTGTTTTTCATGATTTTCTTGCATCACTCTCATTTCTCTTCCCAGATTTTCCTCTACTTCTCTTACTTGCTTCTCAAAATCCCTTTTGAGCTCTTCCAAGACCTGGGACTGATTCATATTTTTCTTGGAGGCTTTGGATGTAGGAGTTTTGACTTTGTTGTCTTCTTCTGGTTGTATGTTTTGATCTTCTTTGTCACCAAAATAAGATAATATAGTCTGACTCTTTTTGTGCTGCTTACTTATGATCCTGGGCAATTACTTGAATTTTAAACTCTTTGTTAAGGTAAGAGTCTGCTTCCAATGTGGGGAATGTACTGTCTCAAGCTTTGGGGGTTTGTACAGCTGTTTTCAGAGCTACTTCTAGGGACCTATAAATTTTTAGTTCTTCTAAGGTGGTATGATAAGGGGCAAGGTGTTTCCTTTCCACCACCATAACTAGCTCCACCACCACACCAGCACTCCTCCTCGCCCCAGGACCACCTCTCAGAACTGTGACCCAGATCCAAGCACGGGCAAAGCAAGAGAATCCTGCCTCAGCTCTGGCAAAGAGATCCCTGCAATCCCCCTCTGATCAGCCACTCTATTCCCCCTCAGTCTGTGGGCCAGAAGCTCAGGAGGCAGTTGTGGCCCACACTTGGGACTTGCGGCTGAGACCTAGCTTCTCTCTCTCTCACCACAGTCACAGACTTTTCCTACTGACCTAAGTTGTCTTTGGCGTTCATGGGTTGAGAAGTCTCAACGGCAGCAATTTCTTCCCACAAACACCTGCAGTCTTCATCTGTACTATGAGACCACTTCTTGTCTTGGCAGGACTTACTTGAAAATATTTTTTTCAAACATTGAAAATATTTCTTCCCCTTATGATCAGGCTCATTCTTGTGCTCTGCTCAATAATATCCTTAATTCATGTGCATTTCAGAGCCTTTGCTTCTGAGATCTGTTTGTTTCTTCAAATTAATAGTTATAGCATCTCAGTGTGATGCAATCTAATCTTAAAATACACCTGGAACAGTAGCCACCTTTTCCCACTCTTTCTTTCCTAAATATTCCAGTTAAAAACTGCCTCTAGGCACCATCAGAAGGATGGGGGCAGCTGTTTATGGTGTCATTCACCTGCTCCCCACACCTTTACTGAGTTTACAGTCACACAGCCCAAGGGTAGAAAAACCAGGATTGGATCCAAGGTCTCCCAGATTCTAGTTCAATATTCATTCCACCACAGCATATCACCTCTGGCTAACTATTTTGATGGGAAAGATGGAGATTAGTGTCTGGTACTGCTAAACCTCCTTCCTTTAAATTTTTTTTTCATTAGTTCCTTTGATATTATTGGCTTTTTGTTCTTCTAAGTGAATTTTATTATTTTTTCTGATTCAGTAAAATATTTTTTGACAATTGGGATGTCATTGAATATATAAATTAGTTTAGGTAAAATTATCATTTTTATTATATTGGTTACCAATTAATTTATCATATTATACATAATATATTACATTACATATTAAATGACAATCATTGAGATTGTAATTTTATTGTATTTATTATATTGGTCATTTTATTATATTACATTATATATTGTTATATATTATTATATTGGCCTACCCATGAACAATGAATATTTCTCCAATTATTTAAATCTGATTTTATTTGTATAAAAAGGTTTTTTTTATATAATTTTGTTTACATCGCTCCTGGATTTGTTTTGGCAGGTATACTCTCAGACATTTTTACTGTCTAGAGATTAGTAGAATAACTAACAGAATACTTATGTGGTTTCAGCTGTTTGAACGATTGGACCCCCAAAGAAGTCATTAATGCTTTAGTATCTGCTTAGAAGGACATCATTAGTAGAGTGCCCCAGGGATCTGTAATTGGTTTTTTTGCTACATGAGACCAGCACTCACTTGTGGCGCTTGGGTTATATGGCTTTAGGACTGCCTTCTTTAAGCCAATGGAAACATGGCTTATCACCGAGTTCATTATTTAGGAAGAGAATTTAATTAAATAGGTGCAATATCTGGACTGCCTACCAGCCCAGACTTTGTTAGTTACTGTCTCCTATGCATGCATGAGCTACTCCTTTTCTGAGAGGCTGCAATATCCCTCCTGGTATCCTGTGGAAGCTCAGCCTACCAACAAGGTTGCTTCCCTATTGAATAGCCTATGAGGCAGCGGTAGGCTAAAGCAACTTCAATTGGCCCCTTGATGGCTGGGTCTAAATTCCATCTAGAAAATGAAATAGAATATTGCTCAAAATGTTAAAATACGAAGCTTGCAGTCTATACATAGCTCAGAGTCCCTATCTCATCTGTGGGTTCAACTCACTTTTTGCTACATTAATAGATTCAGAGACTTAGCATTTTGTGATCAAATAGTTAAGTGTACATAGAAAAAAAGTGAAAAGATAACTAAACCAAATGTTCCTGTAGGGAAATATTTGTCTCCATCCATAACCTAGCTTTCTTCCTGGATACCTCTCAGATCTTTTGGTGCAAATTGATAGAATCCCAACTACACATATATGAAGATAGTGAAAAGAAATTGTAGGAGGAATGTACACTACTTATCTCAAACATGACTACAAGGGGAATTGGTTTTCCTGGCTTGGCAAGGTCAGAGTGAAGAAAAGAAGGAGTGAAAAGAGATTACAACATATAGATAGCATCCTTTTATCCTATCGTGCAACTTCTGCTCCATTGCAAATGAGAGTTCAACAAGACCCCCAAAAGGAGTTGGGGGAGATGCAGTCTCCCTCTCATATAATAGATGAATCAGATATTGCTCTACTAGTGTCTTTCCATCTCTGTAAATCAACTCCCCAGGCCCAGGATAAAGCAATAATTCAAAGAATAAGGTAAATTTTCTCTGGCTGTAGCTACTCGATGTTTTTTTTTAAATCAATACTTTGGATAAATGCAAAGATGGCATGTTTATCAAACTTGCTAACTGCACAAAGTTGGGAAAGATGTCTTAAGATCTTGACCAAAAATGGGCCAAATGTAATTAAGATGAAATTTAATAGAAGTGAATATAATAAATATAAAACTCAAACCTTTTACTTAGGTTCAAAAAATCAATCTCATGGGTAATAAAGGAAGCACAACTAGATAGCAATTCATCCAAAAAAAAAGGAAAAGATGGGTTTTAGTGGTCTATGAACTAAATATGAATCAACAGTGTGTTATGGTAGTCAAGAAAGCTAATATAATATTAGGCAGCACTAAGAGAGGCATATTAATAAGGAATAAGGCAATGATAGTCCTGCTGTATTCTGCTTTGGAAGATCATTTTCAGTTGAGGTTACCACACTTCAAGAAAAACATAATCGATGATCTGGAGAGTGTCCAGAGAAGGGCAACCAGCATGGTTACAGGTCTCAAATTCTGCCTTATGAGAACTGATTAAAGTAACTGGGGGTGTTTAGTCTTGAGAAGGGAAGATACAGGGGCCCTTGATTGATGTCTTTAAGTATTGGAAGCACCATCAGGTGGAAGAGGGGATTATCTTTGTTCTTTTTGGTCCCAGAAAACAGAAATAGGAGAAACAAGTCAATGTTTCCCAGAGGCAAGTTTAGAGTCAATGTGAGGGAAAACTTACTAACAATTAGATTACCCAAGAGTACAACGGGTGTCTCTGCAGTTACTGAACATTGGAGGTCTTCGAGTAAAGGCTGGATGGCTACTTTTGGGCCATGTTGTTGAAGGGATTCTCATTCAGGAATGGATCTGGAGTAGATGAAACTTTGAGTTTACTTCCAACTCTGAGATTCTGTGAACTCTCTAGAAACCTGAGTCTTGTTCCCTACAGACTCTTAGACTTTTTGTTTGATTTTCTGCTATCTCCAAGCTCTGTCTTGTCCTGATGTCTGGAAACTGAGTCCTCTATCATTCTCAGCTCCTCCCTGCCTTGAGAATTAACCACCATTAACTTTCCCAAATTTGGACCCAGCTACTGTCCAAACCCTGATATGCCAATATGGGTCTAGGCATGCCAGTCTACAGTTGCCATAAAGAATCAGACATATGATAAATGCTTATGTTTTTGGAAGACTATGAATGGCCCCCTTCAGTGGCGAGGTATTAGTATAGACAGATCGTGGAGTCCACCCTTATGAAGGTAACTTGATAGGAAAATGTACAATCCCACCATAATTTGGCTGTAAGAATAGCACAAGATCCAATTTCTGTCTTGATCTCTCTCTGTATGCCTCTAGAATGGGCACCTACTGTCTTATCACTGAGATAGCTCAGCAGGAGACAAGTTTGTTCCTCTGTTTCCTTGTCCTTTCTGCAAAACAGTTGGTAGAGGATTCTCTTCACCACAGCAAAAGAAGCAATCCCGTCCAGAGCCAGGCACTGGGCTGCTGCCCAGCTGTCAGCATCATTACCTGTCAAGATGGAATTGGAGGAAGAGTAGAAGGATCATGGAGCAGTTAGAATTTTATTTCCATAGTCTGAGGACTATTCCTCTGGGATGGTCCCATCCTAAAGCCTGCCCTTCAACTCCCCGAACCCTTAAACCATGCCCTTGGGTGATCTCACTTTAGATGGGCTACATAGGTGACTTAGCTAGGGATGAGAAGGGATAAGTGCTCCTTAAAGCATACCCATAGCTTGAATAAGCCACTATAATCAAGGGCTTCAAAAAAGCATTCACATTCTTACCCTATGTCCCTTCCCCCATCTCAAATGTCTTGAGCAAAACCAAGTAAATACTGCAATAGTATATAATGCCTCTCATACAGTAGATACTCAATAAATGCTTCAGTGATTAATTGATTCAAAAAGAATTTTCCTTAGAGGCCAAAAGTTGTTGGGCAAAGGTATATAGGAGACGGTGATGGTAGGCTAGATCCCTGATTCTTACCTGAGCCCTCTCTTTCCTTAGATAACATGGCTTGACTTTTGAGAGTATGAAGAAATTGTCTTATATCTCAGCTTAATAACCTTGTCGTGCTCTGCTTAATTGTGATTTTTTTTTCTTTTAAGAATGAAGGGGCTCAAAAAAACCCCCACAAAAAACAGGGCAGCTAGACAGCACAGTGGACAGAGCACTGGCCCTGGAGTCAGGAGGACCTGAGTTTAAATCTGATCTCAGACTTTTGACACTTATTAGCTGCGTGACCCTGGGAAATCACTTAACCCTGATTGTCTCATTAAAAAAAGGGGGCAGCTAGGTGGTGCAGTGGATAGAGCACTGGCCCTGGAGTAAGGAGGACCTGAGTTCAAATCCGGCCTCAAACTCTTAACACTTACTAGCTATGTGACCTTGGGCAAGTCACTTAACCCTATTGCCTAGCCGAAAAGAAGAAGGGGCTTCTTGGTCTAGAAGAAGCCTATTTGGACCGTGAGACAATAACCCAGAGACTATCTGAGGTTAACATGCCAGAATTGTAGGCATGATAGACAGGAAAAAACAATAACTCCTGGAGTGCCCTTTATAAAACCAACCTCTAGTGTGATAGCAAATTTTCCAGAGGGTGATGATGGAAAGTAGAGGATTAGAGAAGGCTGATGGAGGGCAGCCCTTCAATATCCCCAGGTTCAGAGGAAAAGTGTTGGTACGTTAGCGCCTCACCTACTGCCAGAGCATTCTGCATGATTTCCTGGGCTTGGCTGTCATGTGCTTGGATGGTGTAGTGGCACACAGCTGCTGCCATGCGTACACTGGCATTCTTATCCCTTAGCGCTTCCTTGAGCACAGGCTGTAGTTCCTTTGGTATCTCCTGGATGGGCTCAGTTTGAATAGAATCTTCATTGTCTGTTATCATAAGAGAGGAAGGTCAGAAAGCTTCTTCTCATGCCCTTCTCCATCACATATCAGAAGTAAATTGAAAAGTTCCCTATCAGGGTGAACCAGATTAAAATATAATTGGGAAAATGATGAACAAAAATTTAACTATAATAAAACAGATAATGTTAACTTGTGGTTTTCTAAATCAACATACCACCCAAGGGAACCATGCCTACTTGAGTTTGACACCACTGCTGTAGAGTGCACATTGTTGGTTCTGATGCATGACCTTGGTGGTTGTGTGCTGATAAAAATTTAACAACCAACCTTCTGAAAGTAGCACAACACAGTTTTAAATTTAATCTTCATTATTAACATTTACTCCGTCACTTTAAGTATAGACAATCAACAAAACACTAAGTCAAGCCCTGATTGGTACTTCTCTTATTTCCAAGGTGTGAATGCACTGAAAATTTAACAACCAGCTTTTGACAGCTGGTTTGACTTGGCTCCAGCATACCTCTGGACCTTGAGCAAGTCATCTTTATTTCTCTGGGGCTTGGGGTTCTCATCCGTAAAATGGAAGCTTTGAGCATGATGCCTTCCAAGTCTCTTCCGTCTTTACCTGGTCCAGTGCAGGTGTTTTATGTTCATTTATTCAACAAGTATTTATTGGGCCCCTATTTAAATAGTATGAATAGTGAAGAGGGCAGGACAAAAGCACAGCTCTGGACAGTCATGAGACTAGAGAAAGAACAAGGTGAGAAAGTATTCAGTCAAAGGCCTTCTAGCAGATAACAGCTCAATGTGTTACCGTAAAGCTGTTGGTAAGACTCTGTTGACGATCAGTTACCTGACCAAGGAGTTTCAGAAACAAGAAAAGACAGGAAAGTATAAGAAGAGATGTAAAGTCGCCTATCAAAAGGCCTTGCTTAAGATCTATGGGAACAGAATCCCCAGGATACAGTTTGCTATAAAAGTTAATACTAAGGGGCGGCTAGGTGGCATAGTGGATAGAGCGCTGGCCCTGGAGTCAGGAGGACCTGGTTCCAATCCGACCTCGGACACTTGACACTTACTAGCTATGTGACCCTAGGCGAGCCACTTAACCCCGATTGCCTCACCGAAAAACAAAAACAAAAACAAAAAAACTACCAAAAAAAGTTAGTACTAAGGCATAGGGAACTTGAGTAGGTTGTGGAAGATAGGAAAATATTTTAGGGACTGCAGAGGTTTTACTATGTTTGTGTTGTTTCCAGAGACAATTAATAGCTACATATGTACAAAATGCAGACTGCTCTCTCTACTAGAGGAGGAAGAAGGAGGGCTGAAGGAATGTGGGCTTCTCAGGAAAAATTAGCTTTTTCTCCCTCTTGAGGTTATTTTATGTACTTTGTATTTACTTATGAATTTTTTATATCACCCCTCTTCCAGTAGAATGTAAGCTCCTTGAAGTCAGGGACTGTTCTTTTTTGTCTTTGTATCCACAGCTCTTAGTCAAGTGTCTGGTACATAGTAAGAGCTTAATAAGTATTTGTTAAATTAAAATGATGTTTTAAGAGGAAAACAAAGGGGGAGAAAAAACTATGAAACCACAGAGGAAAACCCTATCCCATGTCAGGAGATTGGAGGGTAGAAGAGCAACCTGGAGAAGAATGGGAAGAAAAACCATTGGAGCTAGATAATAAGCATTTTTATAGTACTTTAAGATTTGCTAAGTACTTTGCAAGTATTATCTCATTTTATTCTTACAGCATCCCCAGGTGGGTAGATATTATTATCATTTTTTTTAATAAATGAGGAAACTGAGGTTGACAAAAATTAAGTGACTTCCCTAAGGTCACATGGAAGTAAATGTTTAAGGCTGGATTTGAATTCAGGTCTTCCTGACTATGTTGTGCCACCTGTCTTATTTAATGATGTTGAAGCTATTCCTATGGAAGGTAGAACTGAATCCTCTGATGAGGAAATAGTTTCTTGTTCTTCATCAAGTGGTGTCGAGGATTTATTGGTACATCCAGGAGAGAAAGAGCATTTATTTATTTAATTTATTTATTTTTAGTTTTCAACATTTGCTTTTATAAGATTTTGAGTTCTAATTTTTCCTTCCTCCCTCCGCTTCTCTCTCTCCAAGATGGCAGGGAATCTGAGATAGGCTGTACATCTATTAAACATATTTCCACATTAGTCATGTTGAGAAAGAAGAATCAGAACAAAAGGGAAAAACCAGGAGAAAGAAAAAACAAAAAACAAAAAAGGAAAGAGAAAATAGTATATTTCGATCTGCATTCAGACTCCATAGTTCTTTGTTTGGATGTGGATTTTCCACATTCCATTTTGGATGTAGCATTTTCCATCATGAGACTTTTGGAGATGTCTTAGATCCTTGCATTGCTCAGAAGAGCTAAGTCTATCAAAGTTAGGCATTGTACAATGTTGCTGTTACTGGGTACAGTGTTCTCCTGGTTCTGCTTTCTCATAAAGGACATATGACAAAGGTGATATCGGCATCCAGGGAAAGAACTGATAAATAGAAGTACATGTAGAATAATTTTACACATATATATGTATGTGTAAATATATATATGTATATGTACATGTATGTATATGTACATGTCTAATGGTAGCCATGGGGGGGAGAGAAAAAAAAGAAAAAAGGAAAAAAAGAAATTTACATGATAATTTTGTTGCATATTTGAAAGAAATAGCAAGTTGTGCATAGTAGATTTGTAGTTTCACGTGCAATCATCTTTTATTGTACTAAGTTATGGAAACACTTGTTTTATTCCATAAATTAAAGTAAAATAAAAATTTTAAAGGAAAAAAAAGATAAGAGGACATGGCAAAGAAATAGCTGGCTAAGGAAGTTGTTTCACTGAGGGGAATTTGGATTTTTGGACCAGGACTTAAGAGATAATAATTTTGGCTGCTGGCTAGGGATACAGTACAGGTATGGAGTACATCTGACAAGAACCTGGAAGAATACATTTGTCTAAAGACTTCAAGATCTGATCAACAGGGATTTAAATTGAAAATGGAGGTAGAAGGAGAAAACTGCTCACATACAACTGCTAAGCCATATATCATAGGGAGAAACAGATGCCAGAGAATAACAAAAAATAAAAATAATAGGGAAGTTACCCAGTAATCCTCAGAAGACAATATCCAGGAGGAGGAGCAGTAAAAATACTTTTAGTCTCAGATGTCTATACATAAGTACATAGAATATTAGTAATAAACAAGGAAACAAAAGAACTCAACATTAGGAAAGTACGTTCAACTTCATATTAGTATAACTGAAACTTGGTAGGATATAACTTATGACTGGAATACAACAATGGAAGAAATGCCCTGCCTCAAAAAGAACAGCTTAGATAAGAAGTTTGATGGTATAGTGTTATATTTCTTTTTTTTTCTTTTTAAAAATTAATTTATTTATTTTTAGTTTTCAACATTCATTTCCACAAGATTTTGAGTTTTAGATTTTCTCCTTTCTCCCTTCCCCAAGACAGTGTGCAATTTGACATAGGCTCTACTTGTACATCATATTAGACATATTTTCCCATTAGTCATGATGTAAAGAAGAATTAGAACTGATGGGGGGAACCATCAGAACGAAGCAATAAGACAAAACAACAAAAGAAAAGGAGAGCAAATAGTATGCTTCCATTTGCATTCAGACTCCATAGCTCTTTCTCTGGATGTGGATAGCATTTTCCATCAGGAGTCTTTTGGAGTTGTCTTAGATCCTTGCATTGCCGAGAAGAGCCAAGTCTATCAAAGTCAGTCATCACACAATGTGGCCGTTACTGTGTATAATTTATTCCATATACCACAACTTGTTCAGCCATTCCCCAACTGATGGGCATCCCCTCAATTTCCAATTCTTTGCCATCACAAAAAGAGCTGCTATAAGTATTTTGTACAAGTGAGTCCTTTTCCTGTTTTTATTATCTCTTTGGGATGCAGATGTAGAAGTGGTATTGCTGGGTCAAAGGGTATGCACATTTTTATAGCCTTTTAGGCATAGTTCCAAATTGTTCTCCAGAATGGTTGGATCAGTTCACAACTCCACCAGCACCATTAGTGTTCCAATTTTCCCACACCTTCTCCAACATTTATCATTGTCCTGTTTTGTCATGTTGGCCAATCTGATAGGTATGATGTGGTACCTCAGAGCTGTTTTGATTTGCATTTCTCTAATCAATAGTGATTTAGAGCACTTTTTCATATGACTATAGATGGCTTTAATTTATTCATCTGAGAACTGCCTGTTTATATCCTTTGACCATTTATCAATTGGGGAATGACTTGTATTCTTATAAATTTGACTTAATTCTCTATATATTTTAGAAATGAGGCCCTTATCAGAGAGACTGGTTGTAAAAATTCTTTCCCAATTTTTTACCTTCCTTCTAATCTTGGTTGCATTGGCTTTGTTTGTGTAAAAACTTTTCAATTTTAATGTAATCAAAATTATCCATTTTGCATTTCATAATGTTCTCTATCTCTGTTTGGTCATAAATTCTTCCCTTCTCCATAGATCTGATAGGTAAACTATTCCTTGCTCTTCTAAGTAACATTGTATTTCGAAAAGATGTGCTTCTGTGTGGAAGTCCATGAACAAGAGGAGGAAGCATGATGAAACGCATTTGGGTGAATATTAAAGAAGGGATAAAAAGAGGTGATACTGGGTCAAAACCCCTCTGGGTCAAAAGGAAAATAGATGATAAATGCCAAAGGGATACTGTAGGCATCAGGCAGAGGTTATCTATACATCTGCTGAAGATCTTTCTTTGCCAAAAGCATCTCAGTGAAGAAATTCTTGCCTTTCCTTCAAAAGGTTGTAGATGTGGTGACAAGGGAATTGTTATCTGTGATCCCAGATACTATGGGGCTATTCAGGCCTGATCAGACATTTATTTATGGATAATTTTGGAGACAAGGAGAGACCTTTTCAACTTGTTTAAAGAGATAAGGCTTAACATAACAGAAAATAAAACTACATAGTTGTAACAGGGATCATGGAACTCCCTAATTTTCTGGATTAGGACACCTAACAGCAATATTCATCCTCCAACTGTGAGGTGCTCCAGTCCAACAAATCAGGGAGTTCTCCTGATCATCCTTATTAACATAGGTATGCAGAATAATAAATAATTGGCATATGTACATATATATATACATACACACACATATATGAAAGTATATATGTGTGTGTGTGTGTGTGTGTGTGTGTACAAGAATTCTCTCCATCTCTAAATTTCTTGGCTGTTTGTTACCTTAAAACAGACTGCTTGATTTGAATTTTTCCTTTAATTCAATTCTCCTGAGCCAGTCTCCAGAGTCTATAGTATACTATAGGCATGATAACAAACTTCCGTATCTCTTTGTTAAGTGATAGTTCATTCCTATACTTCTCATTTAACCCATTGCGATGTTCAAATAGCCCAAAATACAGATCTGAGAGGGCAGGTAATAAAGAGCAACTTGTTAACTCACCAATCACTGCCTTAAGACCCATAGGAAGCAAGGAAAATCAAAGGTTGGACCATTCCTTTACAGAAAGGGAAAACTAGGAATCCATCTTTGTTTTGTTTTTTCTTTTTTTGCTAGGCAATAGGGTTAAATGACTTGCCCAGGGTCACACAGCTAGTTAAGTGTCAAGTGTCTGAGGGTGGATTTAAACTCAGATCCTTCTGACTCCAGGGCCGGTGCTCTATCCACTGCACAACCTAGCTGTCCCTGGGAAGCCATCTTTGGAGCCACTACTTGTAATCACATTGCACACAATTGCCCTGAATGTAAACTTGGAGATTTGTAGCATCTCCCATTTCCAGCCCTTTGAACTCCCTTTTCTTGAGCTTCTAGTAGCTATACAGAATTTATCCTTCAATAAATCTCATTTGGATGTTAATTTTGTGCATGAGCTCTCTCTCCTTTTTTCCTTATGTATTTGGAGAAGCATTGGCCACTAAATTAGGAATTAGGATGAGTAGGAGAACTCTATTAATCCTTTTCATTCTCAGAAGAAGAATCCTAAAAATCTAAGAGAATGTCATTAATTGAGTTTGCTAAAGCAAAAGTGTGCTTTGGAGGTTAAGGAGAACAAAAAGTCATAGAAACTTTTAATAGGGAATGAATGCCCAAATTAAATAGACAGGCTAGAATGATGGACCAAATCTAACAAGATGAAATTTAATAAGGATAAATGCAGAATCATACACTGAAGTTTAAAACACACACACACATACTTACACGCATATATATACACACACCTGTACAGGTATGGGATGAGAGAGGTACAATTACAATTATCCCTTCCACATAGCAACCTTCCTCATCATGGTTTCACTATATTGTGGGTTGGCATAAGAAATTAAATGGGAATTTTGGGGAGTTTTTGAAAGTCACAGACGACATGCAAAGGCCAGCAGATGACACAGAAAGTTCAGAAACTCAGAAATGCATAAAATATATGTATAGTGTTATATAATATAAACCCAAATTTTAGAATGAAGTACTGTAAACACTCTATGAAAGAAAAAGAAAAAGAAAAAAATTCAGAGTTCTTCTCTGCTATGAAAGGAGGGCCAAAAATTTTATGTGGATTTTCTAGATAGAAAAGGTGCCGCCCCCCTAATCCCTGCATTGTGGAAGGGATAACTGTACAAGAAGAGTTCATGTGACAAGTGCCTGGAAGTTTTAGTGGACCACAACTCAATGTAAGCTAAAAATGCAAAAACAATCTCGGGCTGAATAGAAGCCTAGTATCCAGAACTAGGGAATTTACAGTATGACTATACTCTGTTCTGGTGAGAACATACCTGAAAAATTACATTCAGTTCTGGGTGCTACATTTTAGGAAGGACATTGGTAGATATATGAATACCCAGAGAAGGTTGACCAGGGATGGAGGTGGAATCTGGAACCATCAAATGTTCGATGATTGTTTGAAAGAATGTAGCTATTTAGCTCGTAGATCTAGTATAATGGCTGTTTTCAAATATTTGGAGACTGTCCTCAGGTTGAATTCTACCCTACAGTATATAAGAATAACATAGTTCAAACAAGCCGGCATGTTCACAAGTGATGTGCAGGTTATACTGAGCTAAATTTATTTCTGGGGAATAAATACAGCTAGAACCTGATGAATGCTTTATATGACAAATCTACTGCCCTCCAAGATGTCTCAAGACTTGTCTGGAAATCTGCACACCCTTTGGTGTATGGAGGGATAATCAGTGTCAAATCAAGCCCCATCCTTTTCCTCTGGGAAGGACAAGAAGGTAAGTTTAGTTTCACTGCATGTGGAAGGTCTGGGCCTGATATAATGCAGATCTTCTTCTGGGGATTCTTTCAGTGAGTGGGATGGGACCAGTCCTCATGCCAAGGGCCAATGTTTTGTTTTTTTTTTTTAAATCATAATCATGTGCCAAAACACATAGTGCATAACCTTAGTGTCCTAAATCCTGAGGCTAGCACCTGCTTTCTCTCTCATGAGTCAATGTACATGATGAAATAAACAGTGTACCCACTCTGCTCGGTCATGGGCCTGCAGTGCCAGGATGCATTACAAATCAACCAATGAATGCTAATAGTCTGCATGTATTATGGTTTCTGAAAACCTTGGCAGTTCTCACCACACAAGTAGCACATAGATAGTACCTAGAACTCCTATGGGCCAAGGATTTGAACCTCCACTCAACCGACTGGGCAAATTCTCATGGTTCCAGGCTCCTGGGTGGAACTTCAGGCAGAGTTTCAGAGTCGAGGACTTGATTTCAAACCCTAGCTCTGTCATTTACTACCTATGCGGTGGTGGTGTTGTTCAGTTGTGTTTGACTTTTCATGACCCCATTTGGGGTTTTCTTGGCAAAGATACTGGAGGGGTTTGCCATTTTTTTCTCTGGCTCAATTTGCAGATGAGGAAACTGAGGCAAACAGTGTTAAGTGACTTGCCCAGGGTCACATAGCACATAAATGTCTGAGGCCTGATTTGAACTCTGGACCAGTGCTCTATGCACTGTGCCGCCTAGCTGCTCCAGAGTAGAAAATTTTCAATAAAGAGTTAAAACCCAAATTAAGTGAAGAGAGGGGGAAAGCAGTAATAGAATTAGAATCAAGAGCTAAGAGGGAAGAGGTCTAAAGAGCAAAGGTAGCTTGGCCTTATTCATCATTTGTCTGTTATCATTTTCTGCTCCCTCCCATCCTATTTCTCATTGGGAAAAATGTAGACTATCCCTGTAGGCACCCGCGCAAAAGCTTTGCTACTATCTAAGGCATCCAATGCTAAGTCCCACCTTTGTCCTCCTCAATGTCATCAGTTCGAGGTCGCTCTATAGCTGCCGTGGCACAGGTGATGATGGCTTCAACCCTGACCTCATCCTGCACGTTGTTCATGTTCCGTAGCAGTCCCTCCACTGTAGCGTCTTGCCATTGGGTAGCTGGAATTGAAGACAGGGACAGGGGGGAAGGTGTGGAGGAAATGAAAAGAACATTACTCAATTAAGATTGGGCACTGTGCTACACCTGGGTTACCAAGAAGTCACTTTTCTCATAAGGAAGAACCATTTAAAACCAGGTAAGATCTCCATCATGGAGGAGTCATTTTGTGGGGAAGAGTCCCTAGGGAGGGAGATGGGATGGGGGGGTCTTTGGGGAAGTGTGATCCTCTTGTGATGTCCTTGACCAACTTCTTTCATCACTAATATAGGGAATTCTCAATCACCACCATCTAGAAAATGTGTAGGAAGGGCTGTTTCTCTTCCAAATTTTTCCCCTGGAATTCATGGTCTTTCTCCTCTCTCCTCTCCTATGGTATATCTATGGCCATACCACCCGGTATATGCCTGATCTTTGATCTCAACAAAATAAGCAGATTTGGGCCTAGTTAGTACTTGGACAGGAGAGTTCTTGGGAATACTAGGCGATAAAGGCTTTTTTTTTTTGGTGGTCTAGTGGAAAGGGCTTTGGATTTAGAGTTAATGGGTCTGGGTCCCAAATCTTGACTGCCATTTACTATGTAACTTTCATTTTTCTAGGCCTTATTTTTTTCATCTGTAAAATAAGGGGATTGGACTAGATGGTTTCTAAAGTCCCTTCCCACTCTAAATTTTTAATCCTATGATCTCTTCCACTCAATGTCCATTGCAATACAATGCTTGGCCACTTTTAACGTGCATAATTCTTTTGCTATGTATATATATATAGTTTGATTGATATAGTTTGATATATAGATTGATTTAATTCCACTTATAGCCTGACACTTTGGATAGTTATTCTTACTTTTTTTTTTTAACCATTATTCCTAACCCCATTTCAGTCTAGACCCCCTTTCTCTTTGGGATCCCATTGACCCTGAGGATGTAAGTTCCTTTTGGTTTGACTCCTCTATTCACTCCTCAATTTCAGGTCATACCTGAAATTTCAACTACCTGAGCCCCTTACTCAACCCACTTCCTGAATTCCTCTCCACACATCTTTTGTAAACAAGTTTTTCTTTAGGTTTCTTTGGATTGAATGACACAATTCATCTTATGTTGGGTCTTTCTGAGCCCTGCTTTAACCCTCCCTTGGTTCTTGATTCCTCTGTCCCCTCCCCTTATAAAAATAATAGAATCACAGAATGTCTAAGCTCAAAGGGACCTTATAAATTATCCTGTCAGCCTCTCCCCCCACCAACCTGAACATCCTGAGATCCAAAGGTGAATTGATTTGTCCCAAGACATCCAATTATCTCCTGATAGAAGCAGGACCTGAACCCACATTTTCTTACTCCCTAGTTCAGGGGGCTTTCTACTATATCCTACTGCCTCCTAAGTGGCCAACACTCTTGCCAACATCAACAAAGTTTTCAGCTTCTTGCATATCTATCCCAGCCCTCTTGGCAGCTTCAGGGCCAGTGTCTTTTCTCAGAAACCATTAGTATAGAGGCAGTCATGTGGCACAGTGCATGGAGTACTGGCCCTAGAGTCAGGGGTATCTCAGTTCAAATCTGGCCTCAGACACTTACTAGCTCTGTGACCCTGGGCAAGTCACTTAACTCTGACTATCTCAAAAAAAAAAAAAGAAAGAAAAGAGAAAGAAAGCATTACTATAGCAGTTAGTACAGAACCATTAGAATAGAAGCAGTAAGGTATAATAGCTAGAGGGCTGGCCTTGGAATAACAATGAGCTATATTCAAATCCTGCCTTTGGTAACATACTAAATGTGTGATTATGGTTGAGTGACTTAACTTCTCTAAAACTGTAAATTATAGAAGTACCACATAGAATGAAATTAGAGGTATGAAACCCCCTCCTCACCATAAAAAGACCTCTCCAAGATACAGGGTGTCCCAAAAGTCGTAGTGTAGTTTTAAGGCATTGAAACTTGATCAAGAACCAAGGAAGGTTATTAAAGCTTAAAATTGCACCAAGACTTTTGGGACACTTTGTGTAGAAGAGGAAATTAAGCGACTAATACAGTTAGTAATCTGCAGAACCCAGACTTCCACTAAATGGTTTGCTTTCAAATCCCACGTATTTGGTATCCCTTAACCAGACTGATAATCTCAAGCTCATATATTAATTTCATTCATTCATTCCTTCATCCATTTGTAGCTGAAGGGAGTATTGCTGCCCTGAAGGCCACCCCCTTTCTTCAGGCCCTAGGTTTCTGATTGGTGACTCCCTCCACAAGACTGTAATTTTAGAAAGGACCCACACCCGTTTCCCCTGACTCCTAGACATTCCGTCTCGATTCTTCCTCCTCCCCATCTGCAGCCACTGCCCCTGTGTGGGTGCATTGCTTAATTTTATTTGCATCCTCAGCAGTTAGCACGGTGCCTGACACATGTTGTTGAGTGGTTTAAGTTTTGCCTGACTCTTCATGACCCTATTTAAGGTTTTCTTGGCAAAGATACTGGAATGGTTTGCCATTTCCTTCTCTGGTTCATTTAATTTATTTTTGTTTTTTGGGTTTTTTTTTTTTTTAGGCAATGGGGTTAAGTGACTTGCTCAGGGTCATACAGTTAGTAAATGTCAAGTGTCTGAGGCTGGATTTGAACTCAGGCCCTCCTGATTCCAGGGCCAGTGCTCTATCCACTGCACCACCTAGCTGCCTCATCTGGTTCATTTTAAAGATGAAAAACAGGGTTAAGTGACTTGCCCAGAGTCACACAGCAACTAAGTGTCTGGGGCCAGATTTGAACTCAGGAAGATGAGTCTCTGACTTCAAGTCCAGCATTCTATCCCCTGTGCCACCTAGCGTCCCAGCCTGACACACAGTAAGCACTTAATAAGTCATCTGTCTGTCTGTCTATCTATCTATCAATCTACCTATTTGCTTATCTATCTATCCACCTGTCTGTCTATCTATCTATCAATCTACCGATCGAACTATCTATCTATCAGAATTATAGAAGTAAAACTGGAAGGGCCCTCAGAGGCCATATCATCCACCCCCTCCTTTTACAAAGGAGAAGTTTGAGACCCAGGGAGTTTAAATGTCTTGCCCCAGATCACTCAGGTCCTTCTGACTCCAGAGCTAATGCTCTTGCTGAAAATGAGCAGGGGGGGCATCAAGGACGGGAGCAGAGAGTCCTTAAGCAGGCAGAACAGCAGGGAAGGGAGTGGAAAAACTTCACAAAGATCCTTCTTATGACAGGACATTGACGTACGGAGCCCAGCTGAGAAGAGACCCCTGGTGTCCCTTGGATAAGCTCACCTCCACTTTGTCCTTTAGTTTCTGGAAATCTTCTGTGAACCAGTTCCTAGTCTTGGTGGAGAATTCACTTCCCTTTTATCTGGGTGTCTGTTGGCCTTAGCTTTGTCGGCTCTAGTGCCAGACAGAAACTTTACCCTCTCTTGGAATTTGTCAAAACCCTCTGCCAAGTTGAATGAAGGCTCAGGCCTGTTGCCAAAAGGATCAGAAGTGGGGTTTGGAGGAAGATGATTAGGGGGGTGAAGAAGGGGGTGAGCCTGGAGACCTATAGGAGAACAGGGGCCAGGCAGGCTGGAGTAAGAGTGCTCATTATTCATTTTGGAAAGATTTGGAGGAAAAAGATCTGTTTACTTTGTTGTTGTTGTTGATTCATTTCAGTTGTGTCCAGAGCTCCATGACCCCATTTGGGGTTTCCTTGGCAAAGATACTGGAGTAGTTTGCCAATTTTTCTCTAGCTCATTTTACATATGAGGAACTGAGACAAATAGTATTAGATGGCTTGGGTCACACAGCTAGTAAATGTCTAAGACCAGATCTGAACTCAGAAAGATGAGTCTTCCTGACTCTAGGCCTGGTGCTCTATCCACTGTGCCACCTTCTAAGTCCATAGATTTTTTTTAAGTAAATTAGTTTTTTGTTTTTTTGGTTTGGCAATGGGGTTAAGTGACTTGCCCAGGGTCACACAGCTACTAAGTGTCAAGTGTCTGAGTGCTACCTAGCTGCCCTGAGTAAACTAGTTTTTATATAAAATAAGTTTTTAAGTGAATAAGTCACCAGTTTTTAAGTAAATATGTTTTTAAATAAATAAGTCACTGGTGGCATTCCCCCAAAAGCTGTTGATTACTCTTCTTATTCATTTAGTAATCATTTATTACAAACCTATTATTTGCAATCTGTGGCTTAGTGGATAGAGTGCCAGCTAGGCTTAGAGTTGGGAAGAGCTGAGTTCAAAGACCTGAGTGGTTTGGTTAGCCAACTAGTCACAGGGAAGTCTCTTTGGTGTCCTAGCTTCTTTATCTGAGCCTCATCTTCCTCGTCCGTAAAATACCTGTAGTACCTGTTTTACCTGAGTTGTTCAGGGATCATATGAGATAATGTATGCAAAGCATTCTGCAGGCTTGAAGGTGCCAAAGAGGGTACTCCAAAAGTCACAGTGTGGCCTAAAGCTTTAATAGTTTAAAACTGTTCTAAGACTTTTGAAATACCCTGTATACCTGTTGAGTAACTCTCAAAGCCTATAAGTTAGAGATGAGCTGCTAATCTGCCTTCCTACGAGTTTCTACATCTAGAATTCATTACAGTGGAGAAATTAGAAGTTAGACCTCTCCCTTACCCTTTCTCCACCCACCCCCACCCCCAGTTAGTTATCATTGTTAATCACTATGCTACATTCTGAGAGATATAGGGACATCCTAGACACAGTCCTTGCCCTGGAGACCCAAGGGGAAACCTGAATTTTGTTCATTTTTAGAAGATAGAGAATAGAAGCAGTACATCACTCTTGGTACCTTGCCTCATGGGATCCTCTCCAGTCCCAGCAACTCTATGGAGTATACAGCATACAAAATGGAATTCTCTTTCCAGGGGCACTCACTTAGAATCCAGGCATTCTTCCATTCCTTCAGCATGTTCCGGAGGACCCGCATTTCCCAGGACACATTTTCCTCTATTTTTGGTACACAATCCTTCCTTGCTCTCCTGACCTTGGCAGGAATAATCTCTTGGCTCAATTCCAGGGGGTCCTTGACTGGAGTGGGCAAGGCGGTCCAACGGAAGGCTCCCCTTTTGGGCCTGAGAGCTGTCTCGATAAGATGGAATGTGATTGATTATTTGTTCTGCCTGGCCCCTCATCTTTATCCCTCCTGCCCCTAAAATGAAATCATACCACCCAGCAGTCACCAATACTGATTAGAGGCAGCCAAGAGTCCTCCCTGGCAAAAACTCAAGACAAATTATATTATTTTGCTTACACAGCATCCTAAGTAGTTGAGGAGCCATAGGCTCATATGGGAAATTAATGATAGATCACAGGGGGAGAAACCAAGAATCCTGATTAGAGATGTAAAATTTGCAGGAATTTTGAAACCATGGTGGTTTGTAGGAGCTAGGGAGTTGTTTTTTCAAATGTTTGGGTTTTTGGGGTTTTTTTTTTGGTGCAACCAGACTTATCCTTTGTATTACAAGTGCCCACATATAATAGGTAGGAATTACCTATAACAGGAATATTGTGGTAGGATAACTCCATGTGTGGCAATCAGTTGGGGGAGACAGAGATAGAGGAAATTCCTCTCCCTCTCTGTCCTGGGTTTCTGGCTTGCTAACAACATTAGGTGAATGATGATTCCAGATTATAAATCTCCCTTTTTCCTTTAATTTATTCGATTTCTCTTTGAACTGGCTTAGGAAGTTATGACAGATAGCAACACCAGGTTTGTGATTTTCTGGGGAGAATCATGGATGGCTCAGGCCCTTCCCTCCCTTCTGCTTCACATTAAGGTAGGGATTCTCTCTCTGTCTCTGTCTCCTTTCCAGTGTTTTTAATATGAATAGGTGCTGTATTTTTCTTCTTCTTTTAATTATTTATTTATTTTAAACACTTTTTTCTTTTCATATTTTGAGTTCCCTTTCTCTCCTTCCCTCCCACTCCCTACCATCCAGTGAGAAGGCAAGCAAAATTATATCAATTATACATGTGAAATCATGCAAAGCACGTTTCCATATTAGCTATGTTGCATAAAAAGTAAAAAAATATTAAGAAAGCAATAAAATTATACTTCAATTTGCACACAGAGTTCATCAATTCTCTCTCTGGAGGTGGACAGCCTTTTTTCATCATGAGTCCTTTGGAATTGTCTTAAATCATTGTGCTGATCATGGTGGCCAAGTCTTCCACAGTTGATCATCATTACAATATGCTGTTGCTGCATACAATGATCTCCTGGCTTTTCTTACTTCATTCTGCATCAGTTCATATAGGTCTTGCCATGTTTTTTTTTTTTTCCTGAAACCATCTTCCTTATAATTTCTTATAGAACAATTTTATCACAATCATGCCACAACTTGTTCAGCTATTCCTCAATTGATGGGCATCCCTTCGATTTCCAATTCTTTGCCACCACAAAAAGAGTTGCTATAAATATTCTTGTATATATAGGCTCTTTAATGTCTTTGGGAAACAGAGCTAATAGTGGTATTGCTGGATTAAAGGGTATGCATAGTTTTATAGCCCTTTGGGCATGGTTCCAAATTGTTCTCCAGAATGGTCGAACCAGTTCACATCTCTAACAGTTTATTAGTGTACCTATTTCTCCTCATCTCCTATAGCATTTGTCATTTCTGTTAGGTAGGAGGTGGTATCTCAGGTTGTTTTAATTTACATTTCTCTAATCAATCCTCTTTGGAGCATTTTCCATATGACTATAGATAGCTTTGATTTCTTCTGAAAACTACCTGTTCATATCCTTTTACCACTTACCAATTAGGGAATGGCTCTTTTTTTTTTTTAATGTTACTTAGTTCCATATCTATTTGAGAAATGAAGACTTTTTCAGAGAAACGTGCTGTAAAAAAATTTTTGGTACTACTTCATTATCTTATGATATCTTTAGCATAATGTAGTTTCCTGGCTAATCTGTTTTCATTAGGTCTGTTTTTGCTTTTGCATTGTCTGAGATCATGATTGTTACCCCTGCCTTTTACACTTCATCTGAAGCAAAATAGATTCTGCTCCAGCCCTTTATCTTCACTCTGTGTGTGTGTGTGTTTCTGATTCAAGTATGTCTCTTGTAAACAACATATTGTTGGATTCTGGTTCCTAATCCATTCTGTTACCTGCCTCTGTTTTAGGAGTGAGCTCACCGCATTCACCCTCACAGTTATGATTACTGTGTATTTCTCTCCATCCTATTTTCTTCTGTTTCTTCTTCTCTCTCTTTTTATCTTGTCCTTCCTCAAATGTCTATTTTGCTTCTAACCACTGCTTCTCTTAATCTGACCCCTCCCTTTTATCAACATCCCTCACTTTTTCTTATCTCCTTCCCCTCCTATTACCCTATTGGGTAAATTATATTTTTATACATAACTGAATGTGTGTAGATATACAATATATAAAATAGATATTCTCCCTTCTTTGAACCAATGCCAATGAAAGTGAGGTTTGAGCACTGCCCACCTCCCCATTTCCCTCTGCACTATGAAAGTTCTTCCTTACATGCCTCTTTTATGTGAAAACAATTACCGCGTTCTACTTCTCCCTTCCCCTTCTCCCAATGCGTCCTCTTTCTCACCCCTTCCTTTTTTTTTGTTTTTGCAAATCATTCCAACATAATCATTCCAACACCCATGCCCTCTGTCTATGTAGACTCCTTTTAGCCGTAGAGCAGGGATTCTTAATCTTTTTATATCATGGAAACTTTTGGAAGTCTTGGTGAATACCCTTCTCAGAATAATGCTTTTAGGGGGCACGTAGGTGGCGCAGTGGATAGAGCACCGGCCCTGAAGTCAGGAGGACTTGAGTTTGACTCCAGCCTCAGACACATAACACTTACTAGCTGTGTGACCCTGGGCAAGTCATTTAACCCCTATTGCCTCACCAAAAAAAAAAAAAGCACCCCCCCCCCAGAATAATGCTTTTAAATGAAAATAATAAAATACATAGAATTATGAAGGAAACCAAATATGTTGAAATAAATATGCAATTTTTCCATCCAAGTTCTTGGACCCCTGTAATCTAGCCATGGACCCCAGCTAAGTGCTCCTGTACTAGGGGATGGGTGAATCAACTATATTATCTATATTGCCTTTTCCCCCAGACCTTTATTGTCTAAAAATAAACCTCAAAACAGTAAGTTGGATTATCAATTACTAAAATATTTTATATATAGCTTTAGGACAAACAATAACAAGAGTAGACCGGACAGAGGGAAGTGGAGCACAAAGGGCCGGCCAATTGTGTTCTTCAGAAATGACAGCAGCTAGTGTTAAGTGTTCTGGCTATAGAAACTGGAGAGCTTTGCCCAGTTCAGTCTCTTTCTTTCCCTCTTTGTGGGGAAGAAAGCAAGAGCATTTGGGAGGAGTTATTCTGTTATTCAAGTTGTATCCTTCTCAACTTGGAAGGAGGGCAAGGAAAAAGGTCTCACCAATCATAGCTTAATCCTTTATAATCTGCCAGGATGGCTTCAGCCCGACCCCCTGCTTAAGTCTACCACAGCAGCTCTGAATATTAACTATTAGAGTCTTTGTAAAGAAGAACAGAGAAGCATAGGTATCTAACTCTGCAGGCCTTGCATGATGACAAGATGGATCTCATCCTTTTGGCCTGGCCTTCCCTCTCTTATATTTCCCCCAAATCTGTTTTGGTCTTTCTCAATGACTATACCACTCCACCCCCTATTCATTCATCACTTCAGTGGCCTGTGGAATTCTGGAAAAGCTTCTGCATCTCCATAGTTACTCTAATGCAGGGTCAGATTCTGATGCATGGTTAAATTGATGGGGAAAAAATACACACACACACATATATATATGTATGTTATATATGTTAATACAGGGTAGAAAGAAAGATGAAATGGGAGAAAAGAAGGAAGGAAGAAAGGAAGAAAGAAAGGAAGGAAGGAAGGAAGAAGGAAAAGAAAGAAAGAAAGAAAGAAGGAAAGAAAAAAGAAAGAAAGAAAGAAAGAAAGAAAGAAAGAAAGAAAGAAAGAAAGAAAGAAAGAAAGGAGATAATTTTTTAAAATCCCTCTTACTTTAGAGGCATCTGCAATCTCATTGTAAACAAGAGAGCTTCCCCCTTTCCCCACCCTGCCCCACAACTTCATTTGATTCTCTGAGTCAAGAAGGGAACAATGAAGAACAAGAAGGGCTGAGAAAAAGTACAGAGCAATTGTGAAATAAAACTGTAGAGAAGAAGGTCACAGGATTTCTCTCTCTCTCTCTCTCTCTCTCTCTCTCTCTCTCTCTCTCTCTCTCTCTCTCCACCCCCACCCCCAATAGGTCAGGAAAATGGAAGATCATCCATTTAGAGTTCTAGAATAGAACAGATTGTAAGCTGGGAGCTGCCTGTGGAGATGACCACTACAAGAACTTCCCATCAGTCACAGAGCTTTGAAAGGGAGCTACTTGACCATGAGGAGACACTGCATTTATCAAGGAACAGAGACACACACCCCAGACAGACACAGATAAAGAGATATAGCCATCCAAAGAAGGGAATAGTTTCAAAGAGTGAGACCTCTGGAAATTGAGTCAAGCTAAGGAAAGAAGACCACTGAGGGAGCCCAGCTGAGCAGCCTGGCCAGCAGAGACATTGTACCCAAGGAGAAATGTGTAAAGACTGTATAGAGAGAAATAGCATCTATAGGCTCTGCAGTCAGGAGTTGTAAGTTGCCTTTGTCACTCCTCTATCCTATATGTGTGGCCCACTAGTACTTTGATCTTAATTTCCATGGATTCCATGTACATTTGTGGGAGAGTACACCTGCAGCCTGATGGCCCAATGGATAGAGCACTAGGCCTGGAGTCAAGAACTGCATTCAAATGTGGCCTCAGAAACCTACTAGCTGTGTTACCTTGGGCAAGTCACTTAACATCTGTTTGCCTGAATTTCATCATTTATAAAATGGGGATATTAAGAGCACCTACACTGCCCCCACCCAAGGGTTTTTGTGAGAATCGAATGAGATAATATTTGAAAGTGCTTATTACACTGCCTAGGACATAGTAGCCACTACATAAATGTTAGATATTGTTGTTGTTAGTGGAGGTGGTTTTTTAGGTTTCATGGGGAAAAGTTTTTGTACCCATTCTTTACGCTTTACCATCTTAGTAAACACCTTTGCTGTGAGCCAATCACTTTTACTGCCTAGTTATTAATGGAAAACAGACTTCTGATGCCTTGTGTTTGGAGTACAGACGTAAGGGTTACTTCCTGGAATTCAAGGTAGTATCCATGGGAACTCAGCCTGTGAGTGTGTGTACATATTATATCACCAGAGACATTCTTCACACTTCATCTTGTAGGAATCTTGTCCATGTTCTTCTGGGAAGAAGAACACTGGAAGCTTTCCTCTGCATTGTTTATTATTGACTTATAGATATCTTGGGATAGCCCTATAAAGTTTTCCATCTGTTGTCTTCCATTCTTGTTATATGACTAGCCTACCTCTTCTTCTGGTCATAGACTCATAGTATGATTGTAGACATAGAGTGAAAGGAACCTTTCTGGCCATCTAGTTTAACTTAATTTTTATAGTTGAGGGAACTGAGGCCAAGGGAGGCTGAGTCAGATTTGCTAAAGGTCACACAAGTAGTCCACATCATGCTTGTCTTTTATGCTCTGTCTTCTGAGTAAGAATTTTACTTGAATATTTCTTCGATACTTTAATAATCTATGACTTCCATGGAGGCAAACTGCAAATTTGGTGGGCCCTTCTTCAACAATTGTTGTGGTCAAAACATTTGTCATCTTGTGGCCAAGTTGGTGATGAGCCATTCTGAACTGAATCTACTAAGGCTGGTCCTTGGATGACAGAAATGCCATTTATTCCTGGACTCCTTATAAAAGCCTTTCCAGATTGGTAGAATAAGTCAGACCTTGTGCTGTGCTGGCATACCTTTGAGAGCTCAGGCTCATCTCCAATGCCTCATCATGGCTGGAGAAATAAGAAAACTACCATTGGCAATATGGTGGAGAATCTTATATCTACTTAGCAACTTTTGAAAAAAAAATAATTTTTAAAACTTCTGTTGACAACTATAGGTATTAAAATACATAAACAAGTGCATAAGAAAAAATAAGAAAAATAAATAAGAAAAATGAAACAAACCCCGGAGGCTGTACACAGCTCTATGAATTTCCATTATTTATCAAGTATTGATCCCCACTCCAAGAGATATGCATATTGACTTCAACATAAATAGACCCACATCATCTTTGTTTTCATGATTCTTTTCTTCTGGGTACATAACATGGATGTGATGTTATTGTTGCCTTTTAACTCCACAGTTGTAACCAATGTATATATTATTGTCTTTGGGTCTCTTCTTTCTTCACTTTACATCACTTTATTGATCTTTGACCTATGGTATCTTGTGGAGATGTAGACCTATGCTATGTTACTTACTCCTATAGTCTGAGATTTCTCTGAAAGAACTCTGGCAAATCAGAACAAAGACAGTGATTAGGGAAGGAAGCGTTGATGCTATTTACTCCCAAAATTGTCCTGGGTCCATGTAAGCCCAGAGGTTAGGGTACTGGGTCATAGGTTACATCCTAAAACATAGATCAGGGACGGTGTGTCTTTTGGAGAGATGGTCCATTTTATCGAGCTGGTTGTAATTGTTTTTAGCAGGGCACCTGTTGCACCCTGATTTATCTCTTAGCAATCTCATGTTGCTCCCTAGATAGATTTATCTATCTTGAAGAATGAAGACATGTTTTCAGGCATGGAGCAAAGGCAATTACTGAGAGGAAAAGGTAGGGTGGCCCAGGAGTGAAAACTGAAAGGGGACCAGCCCAAAGGAGAAGACCAGAACATGAGGCTAACATGGCAACTTTCCAAAAGACACTTTACCTAACATGAGACCTGCCTCTTCTTCTAGAACTGGTTTTATAATCTGGTTTATAGATATTATGTCAGGTTTATACCAACTAGGTACATTGTAACTGCTTAGATTTTTTAAACTTTCGTATAGAATATTAATAAAGATGATGATTTAGTATTGGTGGGAAGGAATCAGGTTAACTACTTGGGTGCCCTGGCCAATGACCCAGTGACTTAAGTTAAACCACCCATATCACCAGAAGTACTGCTTCTATCATAACCACCCTTAAATGGCTTCCTCCTTACCTCCTACAGGACGTGGATTATAATTCCACTCTTCCGGACCTTCTGGGAAAGCCTTTGGCAAATGTTTACAGTATTGGTTGAGGTTTTCCAAAAGGATCTTGTCATACTCCATGCCATCCCGATGGAGGATCTGAACTAAGTCTAAGTGGGCATAAAAATGACCAGTCATAGCAGGACCCGCTTTCATTTGCTCCCCCAAGTTCACCCTCCCTCTACTCCTCCAATTTTCTAGGCTCAGTGATCATGCCTAGTTTCTGGCTGCCCTAAGGACTTGAGAAGAGATCCTTTGAAGACATCTATAGTTGGGGATGATACAGCTATAGGAAGAATTGGGACTGAAAATGGCAACAAAAATCATGAGAATGTGGAGGTCTAATTCCTAGTGAGAATTAGCATATAAGGACAGGAGCTGTTTTACCAACGAGTATAGCTCTGGGTTAATATTCAAATGCCCCGAGCAAGGGATAGTCTTTTTGGCTCATGATTGCCAGACGTTTTAAAGATACACCTTTTCAAGAACAGCTCTTTGAAAGCAAATTTTGATGGGGGGTTAAGGGAAGGCAGGAGGTGGAGAGAGAAGTACATAGCATGGCCAAAGAGAGCAGGCCTAGATAGGGTACCATAGTGGTATCCCAGGGCAGTTAAGGAGTAGGATGAAGACTTTGTAGGCAAGGGCCAGAAGCATCCTAAGATAAAAGAAGGGCATTGAAAGGGGAAGAGGAGGAATATCAAAGACAAAATATTTTCATTCTACAGTTTTAGCCAGGGTTAGCATTCATATGAGGACGTGGGATGGGCAAGAATAAACAAAAAAATTGCTCCCCAGTTATTTCTGATTCCATCAGCAGGGGTAGAATCCTTACAATCTGAGTCATCCAAGGCCTCTGAATTATTCTAATGGTCATATCAGAGACAAACTAGGAACCTTTAAGGACTTGGATCATGGCCCCCAAATCCTTCTACCCATTGCCTTCCTCACCCCACCACCAAGAGTCTGTCTCTCTTACCAAAGTAAATCTCCTGTTCAAAGGCATTTTCTGTGACATAAGCATACTTCCCAGCTCTGGGATTTATGTGTTGCCTTGGCTGTGGAGGTTGGGGCCGGAAGAGGCTCCGTTCAGCAAGTATATCTTCAACCGTCTTATTGGTGCCAACCATCATCTCGGGTTTCTTCTTAAGTGGTAAGTAAGCAGGAATTCTTGGCAGAGGGAAGGAATGGAGGACGAATAAGTACGTTGAGGGGAGAGGATGGGCAGAGAAAGAAGCTCCCTGTCTGGGTGTGATAGGAAGAGGAAGGCAACCCCTGACCACTACCAGGAATTCTTACTTGTCTACGCTAACAGAAGATCATTCCCCTTTGCAAATGTGAAATTGGAGCTGTGGACATTTACGGGGGAGTGGGTTGTACTGTGGGCCCTGCCACCCAGTTTGTTAGACTGTGCAGTGGTAGACCTACAGTGAAGAAGACCTGAGTTCAAATCTAGCCTCAGACACTTACTAGCTATTGTGATCCTGGACAAGTCACTTAACTTCTGTCTGCCTCAGTTACCTCACCTGTAAAATGGGAATAACAATAGTATCTACCTCTCAGGATTTGTGTAAAGATAAAATGATACAATGTTAGTAGTACTTTGCAAACATTAAAGCACTAAATAAATTCCAGTTATTATTAGTATGGCTCTATATGTTTAATTTTCCCTACTAAGTGAGTCCTGTGCTGTTTATCCTCAGCACTCAGTCTCACCACTGGTAAAGGACGACCCCCCAAGGGGCTGGTGTGCCAATATTTCTATCATGGATCATTTGGGATGGTAAGGTCATGGACCTAGAAGGGATATCAGAGGTCCTCTAGTAAAAGGGTGGGGAACCTTCGGCCTTGAGGCCGCCATGTGACCCTCTAGGTCCTCAAGTGCAGTCCTTTGACTGAATCCAAACTTCACAGAACAAATCCTCTTAATAAAAGGATCTGTTCTGTAAAACTTGGACTCAGTCAAAAGGCGGCACCCAAGGACCTAGAAGGCCACAAGTGGCCTCGAGGCCGCAGGTTCCCCACCCCTGCTCTAATCCAAACCCTCAATTTTACAGTTGAGGAAGCCGAGGCCAGAGAAGTCAAGTGATTTACCCAAGGTCACACAGATAGTAAGCATAAGAGCAGTGGCATTCTGGTAAGTGTTCAACATCTGGTGCTCCAAAAAGAAAAAAAAATTATGCTTGCCTGAAACACTTTTAAGTTTGATCTGCATTGTTATCTCTGTCACTTAGCACAGGGCCTGGTACATTTGTTGTTGTTCAGCCATTTCAGTTGTGTCTGACTCTTCATGACCCCATCTGGGGTTTTCTTGGTAAAGATACTGGAGCGGTTTGCCATTTCCTTCTGCAGCTCATTTTACAGATGAGGAAACTGAGGCAAATAGAGTTAAGTGACTTGCCCAGAGTCACACAGCTAGAGAGTGTCTGAGACCAGATTTGAACTCAGGTTTTCCTGACTTCAGGCCCAGTACTCTATTCACCACACCACCTAGCTGCCCATCATGGTACATAGCAGATACTTAATAAATACTTCCTTCTCCCTCTCCCCTCTCCTTTAAGTCTACACAATCAATGAAACAACAACCCGGGCCCTGATTTGTAGTGTTTGTTGAAATGGCTTGGTTCCATTCTGAGTTGACTCCAGCACAGCTCTGATAAAGGGGCAGGATTTAAAACCCAGCTTTCTGTGTCTAGAGCCAGTGTCCTTTCTGTGGTAACACAAGGCAAGGAAATCCAAAATCCCCACTTTCAGTTCCAACTCTGCCAACACCTCACTCCAAACAAATGATCTTTTCCAAATTTCATTAGATCATAAACTCCTAGAGGGTAGAGAGTGTCTTTTGCCTCTTGATATCTCTTACATTTAGCCCAGTACTTGGCACACAATAGGTGCCTAATACATGTTTATTGATTGGATTGATACTACTTACTTTCTTAGTTTTGCCTGGATGACTTGAGACAGCCCTTCTCTTCTACCCACTACAGGTGACTGGTATCTGGGAAATGTCTGGAAAATATTGCTACTCTGTTTACTCAGCAATGCTCTCCAAATTTCATCACTGAACAGCCTGCTTCTTAGTTTTATATCCTCTTACTAGTTACCTTTCAGATTAGTATAATATAGGCTTCCCAGGATTAGAACTCAGAGCCATGAGTTTTTAAATTCCCTGCTACCATCTTCTGATGGGCAGATAGGTGGCTTAGTCGATAGAGTGCTGGGCATGAAGTCAGGAAGATTCACCTACCTAAGTTCAAATCTGGCCTCAGACACTTCCTAACTGTGTGATTCTGGGCAAGTCACTTAACTCTGGTTGCCTCAGTTTCCTCATCTGTAAAATGAGCTGGAAAAGGAAATGGCAAAGCACTCTGGTGTAAGGGAAACTGAGGAGATCCTTCCCAGCCCCTCGCATGACCACCTCATGACCTGACATAAGGAATGTAATTTAAAGTTAGTATGTGTGACCAGGAGCACCAAGGGAATGGAACATCAAAGAATAAAACAAACTATGTCACCAGGGCGGAACAACTCTCATCTCAAGGAATATCTTGAGGAAAGCGTGTACGTATCCAAGGAACTGGCCTCTCCTTGGATATGTACATTAAAAAATAGGCATCTGGAGCTTTGGCCAAGCTCCACCTTTGTTCTAAGGTTGTTTTCCTGTGGTTTACCTAGATATAAAAAGGGCCATTTAGGAATGGGACTTTTGGAGGTCTTCGTTTCAGAGATGGGGACGCCCACTCTGTTGACTTTCCCAACCGAGAGCCTGACGGCTGTCATCCAGGACTCCCCCAGCCAGATGTTCAGGAGTTGGTGCTTCTTTGGATTGGTGACGTATTTCTTTTTCTTTATCTCTATATCCTTCTGTTAATAGTCTTTGCTTCTAAGATTGTATAATCATATATGATCACATTTATATGCATGTATGTTTATGACTATTCCCATTATTAAATCATTTATAAACTAGGAGAAGTGTGAACATGTCTTTGTGGGTACAGATCCAAACCTGTGAAACAAATTATAAGTGCTACAGCCCATAACACCTTACCATTACATCTGGTAAACCCCAAATGGCGTCATTAAGCATTTGACGCTACTGAAAAATAACTGAACAACAACAAATGATCTTTTGGGATCATTACATTCTTTTGGTTTGTTTTGGTTTATTTCTGTCAGGGAAAACTATCTTTGACCTGGAATGAATAGAACAAAAATGGTTAAGAGGGTGCTAAAACCCATAATAAAGGGAAATAAATAATAAGCAAGTACCGAGCTACCCTTGATTCAATACAATTCAATAAGGACTTATTTATTGAACATTTACTATGTACCAGTAGCTGTGCTAGAATTCAAGAACTCAAAGACAAAATGAAAACTCTCAGAGCAGACTAGATCTTAAGGTTCTGAAAGAATTGGATCAACTAAATTCATTACGTCTCTGCTCCTCCCCAAACCTACCACTCTCTCTAACTTCTCTGTTTCTGTCAATGGTACCACCATCCTTCAGTCAACCATCTTCACAACTTAGGAGTCATCCTTGACTTCTCAGTCTCCCTGACCCCACTCAGCAGTCAGTTGCCAAATTTTATCATTTCTACATCTATACCTCTCCACTCTGTAGGCTTCTATTCCAATTGTTGTTCAGTCATTTTCAGTCTTATCCAACTCTTCATGACCCCTTTTAGAGTTTTCTTGGCAGATATTGGAGTGGTTTGCCATTTCCTTCTCCAGATCATTTTACAGATGAGGAAACTGAGGCAAATAGGGTTAGATGATTTGCCATGGGTCACAGAGCTACTGGGTGTCTAAAGCCAGATTTGAACTCACAAAGATAAGTATTCCTGACCCCAGGCTTGGTGCTCTACCTATTGCACTATCTAGCTGCCCCCTTATCACCCCAGTACAGGCCTTTATTATCTCTCACCTATTCTACTGGTACAATAACCTCTTCATTGGTCCCCCTGTCTCAAGTTTCTCCCCTCTCCAACCCATTCTCCACACAGCTGTCAAAGGATTTTCTTAAGACACTAGTCTGAACGTCTCTAAAAGCTCCAGTGACTTTCCATTGCCTTTAGGAGCAAATACAAACTTCTCTATTTGGTAATTAAAGCCCTTTGCAAACTGATTTCAAACTGCATTTTCAGGCTTATCACTCATTATTTGTTTTCATTCCCTTTATGGTCTACCCACCTTAGCCTACTCTTGCTCATACAAATCATTCCTTCTTCCATTCCCATACTTTGGGATTAGTGGTCCCTATATGCCTATAAAACTTTGCCCTTGTCTTCCGCTTCTTAGAATTCCTAGCTCTGTTCCTTCGACAAGAGGCCTTCCCTAGTCCTTCTCCAGCTGCTAGTAGCACCTCTCTCATCTCCCCAAAATCCCTTCTATTATCATTGTATTCCAGTCATTTCCCCCGTTAGAATGTGAGCCTTCTGGCTTTCTTTAATTTTTTTTTTTTTTTTTGGTGAAGCAATTGGGGTTAAGTGACTTGCCCAGGGTCACACAGTTAGTAAGTGTCAAGTGTTTGGTCTGAGGCCAGATTTGAACTCAGGTCCTCCTGACTTCAGGGCCAGTGCTCTATCCACTGCGCCATCTAGCTGCCCCTGGCTTTCTTTTTTTTTTTTTTAATGTAATTTTGTTTGTTTGTTTGTTTTTTAGACAATTGGGGTTAAGGGATTTGCCCAGGGTCACACAGCTAGTAAATGTGAAGTGTTTGGCCTGATTTGAACTCAGGTCCTCCTGACTCCAGGGCCAGTGCTCTATCCACTGCACCACCTAGCTGCCCCGTCTTCTGGCTTTCTTTTCCTCCTCTTCCTCCTGTGCCTTGCCACATTGGAGAAACCTCTGGCTTGAGGCCCTCCTCTCCTGATTAGTAACTTCCTACCTGGAACACTCTATCAGGAAGGGACCCAAAATGCCCCATTTTGCTCTCAATAATTCATCATTTATTCAGTAAACATTTATTAAGTAAGTGGAGCCAAGATGGTAAATTAGGGACGCCTATTAGCTGAACTCTCCCAACAGTCGCCTCAAACAACTTTAAAATAACACCTCAAATCGAATTTTGGAGTGGCAGGACCAACCTAAGATCATGCTAATACATTTTTCTGGTATAAGAAAACTTACGAGGTTGATAGAAGTCTGTGACACCTGATGGAGGCCTATCC